AAATAAATCTATTCTAATATTACCCTAATGCATCTCCAACTCCACTAAGTATCATAGATGCTTTATATCGTTCAAATAAATAATTTGACATTTTCTTTCTTTTTATTTCTATTACTCTTTTATTAAAAACACTTATATAAACACAAACATAGATCAATACTCATTGGTTTACATTTCTATCCAATTAAAATTTATTTATTTATTTATTTTATTTTATTTGAAATGATTATTTTATATAAATAATTGATGTAAAAAAATATTTAATTAAGATAAAACTGTATGATAAAAGAGTGATTTCTATATGATTGGTTTCATAGTTAGATTATTATTTTATCTTTGATCATTAGTCTGATTGAACAATTTTTTACTTTTCAAAGTAATTATTCAGAATTTGAATAAAACAAATATATAATAATGTGTTATATGTCACTTTAAATAAGGAACACACCCACATCCGAGATTATATATTTATACTTCGAGAATGCTTTTAGTTTAGAGGTATTCAACAGTAATAAACTTGTTATCATTCTTTATTAATTAGAAAAATAGTCTTTAGTTCTAGAGAGAAAATTTGATTCTATTTTTTAAAAATAAAAGAGTAAAGAATAAAAAAAAATGTTTTATCGATAAATACAATAGAAATTAATATTAAACTATTGAATTTCGAAAAGATGATATTAATATTAATTATCATTTTTCTATATCATAAACAAAAAGAAATGAATTTGTTTTAGTTTTATATATTAATGTAAATTGATTTCGTGCAATTAACATAGACAAGAATATATTCTTCTGGATATTAAAATTTTCCAATATGTTCATTAAAATATCGTAAGATTAATTAGAATATTATTCGTTTGGTTTGTTTTTTTTGTTGTTAACTATATGAAATAATTTGTTCGTTGTCATATAAGACTATCAAGAAACGATTAAATTTGTTTTACCTTGTAGCTTATTATCGTTAAACAACGAATAAATATAAAAAATCCATAGAATGTTAGAAAAAAAACGATGGAATTTAAAAAGTTGAATATACAGTATTGCTTCTCAGTTAGTTAAATAAGATATATGAATTATTTTTTATTTTTAATAGTAATACTTGCTTTTTCAACATGTTTTCGATAATAGAATGATTATGTAAAAAAGTGAATTAATAAATATAAATAATTGAGATAATTTATCGAAGATAGTTATAGAAGATTGGCAGAAATAAAAAAACACAAAAGTTAGATTTATCATCTATGAAACAAATTTGTTTTACTCAAATTTGAATATTTTATGTTTAGTTTTGTTTTAGAAATAATTTATTAATTTAAATAAAAACTCTTCAAATTTCAATCATATTGATGAAGTATTCCAACATCAATTTCATTTCATTTTGTTTTTTCACTTTTTTAATATTAGTCATTTAATTAGTCATTTAAAATAAAAAGAAAAGAAAAGCATAGTATAACTTTATTTTTAGATAAAATGACTTGTCAAACTACAATATAAACACTAGCAAATCAAATTTTCTTTTATATATTTTCTCATTTGTCATGGACTGATTTATCTAATGTCTTTATGATCCTTAAATATTCGTTTGAATTCTATTGTGTGTTTAACTCTTTTAATAAATGATAATAAATTGAACATTGATCTTGTTATTAGATAAGATTCAATATTCTTTTAAGAGAGAAACCGGTTTAAGTTGCATCAGATAATACGTTTGAAGTTGTAGAAGAGTTATTTAAAAGTTAATCTTGTTCATTTGATATATTTTGATATATTCTTTTATTGAGCAATAATTCAATATAAATGGTTATAACTGAGGAAGAATTGAATATGCACAAAACTTAGTCTAGACTTAATTATGTTTGAAAATATTTCAATCGAGCAAGTAACTCATACAAGGAAAGATCTTTTAGTAATCCTCGGAAATTTCAATGAAACTTATATGAGTTTGTTAAATCAAGTCTATATATCTCAAATATTAGAAAAATAATCACTTTAACTAATCAGTGGAAATAATTTGAAGTAAATATATTTTTTGCTTAGAATCTTGAGGGAACTACAAACATTTTTTTTTATTGATGATAAAAATTCGAAAATAATTCTAGAATATTCGTAGTTCAACTTCATTTTAGGTGCTGATTCTAAATATGTTATTAGTGTTAGTGCATATTGTTGTTTTTTTTAAACGAAATTTCGTGAGTAATAGTTGAATATATAACAAAATCAAATTTGAAGAATAGTTTCCTAGAAAATTTAAAAGTGAGCAGGATTTTTGGAATTTAAAAAATATATGTGATTATATAGTGTTGGATTTTTAAAAAAATGTTATTAATGGATATATGAAGATTTACATAAGCTGACTAAAACTTATAATTATATTCATTCGTTGACTAGATAACTAACTGATTTACCACTCACCGACAATCAAATAATAAATGAAAAATACATATACTTGCTTTTTTCAATAGACTTTTTGTTAAGCGAATTGATGTAGAGTCTAATGCTCTATCGAATGATATCATTCCAAAGCGAAAGTGACATCAGTAAAATATTTCATCATCATTTTGACGATTGTAAATTAATAGTAGTATGTCCACTGGTTATTACCCTTGATATTATCGCATCGATTTGTACCGGTGTTTGCAAAAAACGTTTGGAAACCTTCTTCCACAGATATGACCTTCTATAGAAGTGCTCTTTCAATTGTTTTATATTGTAAGAGTATTATAGAATAGTATAATTTCATATTCTCTTTATTCATTTCTAGAAGAGACAGTGAGAGATCTAGAATTTTCGAGAGAAGGTGGCACTTTCTAAATTTGGCGGCACAATCAGAATTCCAGGGTAGGAAGACTCAGCCTCGAATATTTTTAAAAAGCGAACAAAAGTAGTGCTAACTATTTTTCATTTTTTTTCTGCAAAAAGGTAACTAAGACTCTGGCATATCTGAAGTATACGAGGCTAGTTGAGACAGGTATTTCAACACTTTACCTTTTCTTACAGAATATGCTCGAAATTCACATTTTTTAATCTTAAGAGTGGCACTTTTCGTGTTCGATAGCTACGATCAATACGATCCCACATCATAATTCGAACCTAAGTGATTGTCAAAGGTAATTTCGAATATGCTGTCTAAACCAGAAACTATCCACTCAAAATTAGTCACGTGCTACGTAAGGAGCATAATGATTCTAAATGGAATAGTTAAAAGCGTTACTCCTTGTACCCAAACCGTTTGAAAAATAAAAATACGTTGAATTAGAACAGAGTGAAAATCGTTGATAAAATGAAGAATATGATAATTGATTTAAAATATATTTGTAAGTCTGCCCATCAAGATCTGAGGAAGTGCCGGAGTATTCTTCTTTGTTCGTTACATCAGTATCAAGGACTTTTACAACGCATCGTATCCAGTCTGTTAGAATATGATCGCAAAGCTTTTTCGAGCGAGAAACACCTGCTTTCAAGAGAAAATTTTCGAAAGAACTTTCTCCGATTTTACTGATGTGAAGTCAATTTTAGGTGACATTATCAGATAGTGATTTGTTTCGCTACTGGCTGCAGCTCAGAGAACAACGAAAATGTAGAGAATCACCTAGAATAACCGTAAAACATCGGTGCAACAAAATCTTGATTATTCCTGTCACGAATCGTTTTAAAGAAAAAGTGTTCATTTTTTATATCACAGATTTTTCGGTAAGTAAATTCGCATTAACAGTCGGTTTTATACCTCTCATATTTCTCAGTAAATGATTTTCCAGAAGGAAAATTTGACCTTGTTTTAGTACGAGACCCATAAGAATGGAACAAGAATTTTCGGTAGTCTCTATAGGTAATTTACATGAGTATTTTGGACGAATGAATTACTTAAAAAATATATCCACTTCAATATCGTCCTATATACAATGGCAATGTAGGTGACCATGCTTCGGTCCATTACTAAAATTCGTAATGAGAAATTCGAAATAAAACTTATTGAAAAGAGATTCCTTGCCGATGAGATGAATAATTTGAATTTAACAGAAAAATGTCCCTATCTCTATTATTAAAGTATATTGAGACTAGAATGACTAGATCGGAAACTTTCTACAATTAGAAATAAGTAAATTATTTTTTTCATCCGCGAAATTAATCGATTTCTTCGTTGGTTTGAAAAATGAATATTGTTTTTCCATTTTATCAAAGAAAAATATCGGATATTTCATAGGATAAACTCAAGTGTCTTGCTCACTCTGCTCAGAATAGCCGGCCAAACGAAAAACAATTCTATTTTTCATGAGAACTTCTATATATATAGTCTATAGTGTATATATCGTAGGTCTACCCCTCGAAAAATCACATTTCTATTTGTTTATAACAATAGAGGAAAAGGTTTTTAGAAAAAATTTTTTTTCCAAGTTTTTTTTGCAAACATCTATCAGTTAGTCTTTGATTGCTTGGTAAACTATTTTGGTCGGCTTTCCAGAAAACGATTTTTTTTTAGTGTGTAAACAAAAAAACTAATATTTTTCTTTTGAGCAAATAGATTTTCTGAAAAATTTTTTTTAAACTGAATGTTCGAAGAGGAGGAAAGGGGTCACCAAAAAACAGACACTTCTGGACAGGAGGAGGGTCAAAAAATGCCATTTTTTAGAGGACGTCTTTTATGAATGACCCTTTTCGGATAAATAATTTAATCATGTATATATACATGTCTATAATCAATCAAAGTACGAAAAGAACTTTAATAATCTTGTGCAATTTATTTAAAAGAAATTTAATGCTCTAACCTCTGTTAATACATCGCCATTTCACTTGTCACAATTCTATGGATGAGAACAGGAATAAAAAGTGGTGATGTGTACATATATGAGTATATATTTATATGATAATGATCAGTCATTCAAAAGACAAGATATCATCGTACAACTTATAGAGTTAATACAGTTCTATTATTCACATTTTTATTTTCTTTTTTTACGTTCTTTTATAGTAGCACGAGATAAAATAAAACTAAATGATTTTATTTAGTTATTTATAATCATATTATGAATGTTTATCCATAAATGACGATCATATTTACCACCTGACCAACTTTCATATTCAGGATTTTCTTTAAATGCTTCATTTCATCGTACTTATAAAAAAAAGATTTTATAATAAATTTATCTCCAGTTAACATTATTGTTAGAATAATACCATAAGACCAAATATGAACAGGTTCACCTTGATATCGTGTTTTAGTCAAGATCTAAAAGAAACTTTTATTACATTGTATTCATCTTCATTATAATCAATTTACTTCTGGTGATATATAAGGTTGTCTACCATCATAACTAGTTAATATTCGTTCAAATTTTATCATTTGATTACGAAAGAGTGTGAATGTGTGATATTCTCTTCAACCACACCCACATCCACCCAAACCTACACCAATACCCACCCACATCCTTGTTCATCAAAAATTGAGATGAATGTTATAATATTTCAAACGTTTTTTTTGAATTTAGGCTATTTAATGTCAATCAATAGTGAGAGAGTTGTGCATAATTCTTTCAGAGGTGTTCAATTCATCTATTCATTAAATTGATTCGATAGTGAAATCGTTTCATTCCCTTTATGAATTATAATTTAAAGTTTAAAAAGGATTTTTTTTGTCATATTGACAATTCATATCGTTCTCATGATGAAGTTATATTTTTAATATGTACTACAGATATGAACGTATTACATTTTACTTCTGTAAGATTAGCGCTAAATGCAAAAGATTGTAGCAGTAGTTGATAAATGTTGTGGGACCTCGTCTTCGGTTGAATTTTTCTCGAAAATAGACAAAGGACATTAGAGCAGGTAAATGCGCATGGTAGATTAAAAGACAAAGTTCATAAGATCATCTCATTGCAAAATTCCACCAAGATGACTGAGATTAGGGATATTTTCGAAACATTTTGAAATGATATAATAGGATTTGAATAAAATATGATCTAAAAAAATTATAATATTGGATCACAAGAAACAGAGGAAGACTTTGTTGAATAGAAGCAATGATACTCAATGATCTTCATCAAGGTACGAAAAGATATGGTTCATGATTGAGAATTAACCAATTCACAATATTTAGTAGGAACCGAGACTCATGAAATTCCTCGTGAGTAGGATTTTAGGATGGTGATTCTCAGGGATTTAACTAATCTAGATGACGTACCTTGTTAGGAATAGATAATAGCGATTATATTGCTGAAGTGCTTTTAAATTTGGGAGCAGCTAGTAAACCATTTATAAACGTTTACTGTTGTTTCGGTTAAGAAAAAATTTCCATAAAAAGTACATGGTTTTGGAAAATATTGCAGCAAGTTTACGTTTATTAAAAATTTGAATATAACTCCGATGTCCCAGATAGACTGCAAACCTCAAGACATAGAATGGCTCACATAAAAATCTCTGGGTTCTGCAGAGGGAGGGAGCTATCCTCGCTTTTTTAAATTTATTATTATTCTATTAAGACTTATCGATTAGGAGTATACTTGACCAGATGTACAACCATTTCCAAACTCGGTATGTAACCTCGTCTCATTATAACAGACGCGGTTTCTTCTATTATATTTTAGTGTAGAAAGTTTTTAGGGGCGTCTCCTATTATGGTGAGTCTTCTGTTAAGATTTCGCGACAAGTTTTATCATAAGTCAGGTAAAATTTACAAAAACAATGAATGTCACTTTATATTACCTGTTAATAGTAGCCAATACTTATGCAGCTATCTTGTGAAGAGATGAATTTGTTTTCTGCAGAGAATATTGAACCGTGAGAATACATCATTTTTTGCTGTGCAAAAATTCTCTCGTCCTACTTCCAGATAAGAAACTTTCTGTTAGAAGAAGTGAGACGCCTTTAACTATTTCATTCGCCACGTTTCTATCTAGTGCATGGCTCTTTAACAGCTAGTTTCAATTAGTTTACTGTATTTCATAGACCGCATTTTGTAGATATGCGAAACCTATGAAGAATTACTACTGTTACCGATGTAATTAGGATTTTGACGGTCGTAGAACTTATGAAAGGATTCAGCTAACGATGCTAACACCAGTGGAGGCTGAAAGATCAGATGGTAGGGCTGAGCTCCCTGGTTATTCACTAAGCTGGTGTTCCACTGCACATACAAAAAAACATTTTAATCAAGATTTTCTCTAAGGGAGAAGCGTTTTTCCGATTCAATCCTGCGTCCTTACTCACATGCCGTGCTGTGAGATCCAGTAAGACCAGAAATTTCGATTTTTTTCTCTTAAAAAAATTGGTTAGAAAAAAGTTTTGCATATACGGTGGAACACCAGCTTAACGATTACCAATTATTTATTTGAAATACTTTTTAAATCAATCTGAAAATTCTTTTTTGAACTTATTTAAGAACTATTTCGATTTAATTAGAAACTTATATTGATATTAATATTGAAATTTAAAAAAGATAATTTAGAAAAATAAAAAATAATAGTTTGACTTATTATCGAAGTTAATTTCTCTCGATAAATGATTTAAGTTAGTCATCTTTATTGACTAATATCATAGAAATTCTTCATCTAAATTTAATTAATTACTTTAAATAAAACATATTAGATATTTGTTTTTATCTTAGCCGATTATTTATCAAATTAAAATATATATTATGGAATTTAATTCACAATTATTTATCATTATTTTTGAAATCATTATTATCATTATGAATTACACCCATGATTACTTATTCACTTGTCAATCAATCAATCAATCAATACATATATATAGAAATAGATAAAAATCTTATTAAACAATGCCTGAATAAAACGAGTCAAATCAATTGTAAGAATAATATAAACATGATAAATCTACTTGGAAATAATTGTCCTATTTATATAAATTATCTTAAAAATAAATATAAATTATTGAATATGACTAAGTCTTTTATGATTAATGAGATTATTAGAAGAAAAATATAATATAGAACAATATTATTGAGAAAAACAGAAAAAAAAAAAAATCTCGATTAATGTTTATGAAAAGTGGCAAAGAAAAAATACAAAGTTTGAGATGTCTATTGAATAATTGATTATAATTACAAATTCAATATGAATATGATTATCGAATATGAATCATACTTGAATATAAATTGTTTTATTAGAAAATAAATCGAAATTTTTCAAAGAATTTTTAAAAAAGATTTTAATTGAAAAAAAAAATTTTTTTTCTTTTATTTTTATTTTTATTAAATAAATGTAAATATATTAAATATGATTAATGATGAAAATAAAATCATATTAGATTTCAATGATTAAGTGAACATAAAAAAATCCATAATAAAATTTTGACAATTTATCATTAAAAATAATAATCGAAAAAAAGTGAGTATGTTCTTTTATATAGAATTGAACTTGTTTTATTCTATTGATAAAAAAATTCCTCTGGGACAAAGATCGGAACTTCTACTCGAATAACGTTTATTTGAAGTGTGATAAAAAAAAGAGTTGGATGAAATCGACAAACACTTATCATGACCTCGACATCAAAATCGAAGATTAATATTCTCAACTTTTTTTTATTAATCAATTCGATAGATGAACAATTTTTTATATTAAATTTGTTAAATGTTTACAGTAGCCTTTTTTTTTATCGTTCGTGTTCTTTTTTTCCTTGTTCATTTGGGAACTGAATAGAAAAAAAAAAATCTTCCTTCTGTTTTTTCTCATATAAAAGCAATAGATCTATTAGACTTCTTCATATTGAAAATATTCTTTTTTTTAACAGTAATTATATCCGACATAGATTCTCTTTCTATAGAAATATTGATGCGAATGGCGTATGAGACATTTTATTTTTTTTTCTTTTTTCATATTTTATTAAAAATCTAATCGATAGTGCCAATAATTTATCCTCCAGTGAATATTTCATGATTCCAACAAAAAATAATTAGAATTCGTCTAGATTACAAAAAATAAAAATAAAAACGTTTTTTTTTTTAATGTTCAACAGGCAACTAAATTCAATCATTGATTACTAACAAAGGTAAGTATAAGTTAATGATCCACTTGAAAATGTATGAATGAAAAAAAACCTATGCATTGTTGTCGCTCATTCAATAATCTATTATGAAGAAACATCTAATAGAAATCTCTATTTACTAACAGACATACCAGTGGACTCTTGACTATCAACATGCGTCATCACTAAATCAACCAGCAACAATATTTTATGTATTTTACACCAACTACAATGAAAAACCCTTTAGAAGACTATTTATTTGCAACAGAGTGATGCAAAGGATTGACGGCTATCATATATATTCTTTTCTTGTTCTTTTCCCTTATTTTATCGTCTCTATAAAGCTTGTAAAGATAATGTAAATAACTTTTTCTTTCTACTCAATAGATCTTTCAAAGAAAATTGGACTTCACTTGAGTAGAATCGTTCAATAGAAGAAATAAAAGGATGCGACATTCTTCGTTTAGTTTTTCAAAAGAAAATTCATGATCAAATAGAATTTATCTTAATATAGATAAATGTAAGATAAAATCATGGTAAAACTCATATTTCGTATATTAATATCGTTGTTTTCTGTCGTTATTGAAATAGATGTATATTTGAGTCGAACGTTCTCTTGCTAACCCCATTTGGTGTCAATCATAATCTCTAATAAGATGACGAACTATCCTATTGCACAATAAATGACAGGCAACAACAAGTGAGAGTAATATTTACAGATATCCATATGTCTTTTTTTTTTTGGATAAGATCGACGTTTCTTTTTCTTTAATCTAAAATCTTTCCCTTAAGACTTATTATCTACGTATGTTTCTGTTCTATAACAGAGAAATAATGTGCATTGATGCTATTTTCGATATAGAATATATCTTGTTTTTTAATGTCAACTAACAGTTGCTACTGTCCTATTTAAACGATATTTTCGATATCTTAAACGCAATAATAACAAGTTAAGAGAAAACTCATTAACCTACAACAATTTACTATAAAAATTCTTAGGAATAATATATCTTGTTATTTTTGACCCGCATTTGGACTGTATATATTAAGAGAAAAAAAAAGAAAAACATTAGCAGATCAAAGATAATATGTTAGACGTTAATAAAAGTTGAATCGATGTTAATCATGCAGATCTCTTATTTATTTCTTTCGTTATTCGCCATTCACTTATACGTATATGAAAACAAGTTAACTTCATCAATAAATATATATATACATATATAGAGAGAGAGATATTTCATTATCATTATTATTATTATTATTATTATTATTTTATTCTTGTTCTTTCCGTTTTTTTCTCTCTCTCTCTCTCTCTCCTCCCTAACATCCTTGATGATGGGTGTTTGCATAAAAATGTGTGATTTATTCCAGTTGATGACTGCAATGAGTACACATGAAGAGACGAGAAGAGAAAATAAAGAACAGTAGTTTTTTCCTCGAAATTATCTGAATAAGAAACATTAGCTTGATAAGATGTTGTACACATTTTATACTAACTAATATATAGTAAGGTAAATGAAATTTTTCCAACGAATAAAATAAAAAAAGACAAGAGAATTTTTTGATGTTTTATTTTGATTTAATTTGAGTTGTTCTTTTTAGATTTCTAGATCCAATGTTTAATATAAAGTTATTCAAGAAGGTTCTAAAGAATAATCTATATATATAAATTGTCAGAGAATGAAGAATCTGAATAGATTGAATGATGGATTCATTAATAGATAAAAGCAATAATATATTCGAGATAAGTAAACTTGTTAGTTCAACTTCAATATCACAATCAAATGTAACATTGAGTGCTGCTGATTTAACAAAAACATTAATACCAGAACAATATCAAATAATTCTATTAAGTTTTGCATATGGAATAATAACTTTTCTTGCTCTTATTGGTAATTCTTCGATTATTTATATTGTTATATGTAATAGACGAATGCATTCAGTAACAAATTATTTTATATGTAATTTAGCTCTTTCTGATTGTCTTGTTGCTTGTTTTGCAGTTCCATTTCAAGTAAATATTAATTATATTTTATATAATGATATATATTTATTTATTTATTATTAATTAAACTAGTTTCAAGCTGCAGCTTTACAAAAATGGGTTTTACCACATTTTCTTTGTAAATTAGCACCATTTGTTCAAATTCTTTCAGTTGATGTATCAATATATACATTAGTTGCTGTTTCTCTTGATCGTTATTATGTTATGCTTCATCCATTAAAACCAAAATTATCAACTAAAACAGCATTTATTATATTTATTATTATTTGGCTTATAGCATTAGGATCATCAATTCCAAGTTTATTTTTTTATAATGTTTATTTTATTGATGATTTTGGTTATCAATGTTTACCTTATATATATGAAAAAGAAGAAGATTCAAATTCAACAATAGCAACAACAATAAATAGATCTTATAATATAAATAAAATTTATATTGTTTATAATATTTATTCTCAATATGTAATACCATTTATAATAATAAGTTGTGCTTATTTTCGTATAGGATCACATTTATATTTTTCAAAACCAGTTGGACAAACAAAATCTCAAGAAGTTATTGCACGAAATAAACGTAAAGTAAGATAAATAATAATTATTTATAATAAAATAGATAAGATAAATAACCTTGTAAATAAATCTAAGATAAAAAAAACAAGCAGATGTAGGATTTGATTTATGGTAAGTCAATCTTAATTAGATGCATATTATTTTATTTATTCAATCGAACCGGATTAAATCTAAGACATTTGTAAATATAAAAATGATTTATTTCAATAAACAATAAATATTATTTATATTAAACAAGAAACAGATGTTTAGAGAAAAATAATTTAATAAAAATTTATCTTATCAAATCTTTTTTTTAGGTATTAAAAATGTTATTTGTTGTTGTGACATTATTTCTTATCTGTTGGTTTCCATTACAATTATATAATTTTCTTAATGTATACAAACCTGAAATAAATGAGTAGAATTTTAAAAAAAAAAAAAAAATATTTTAGTTTTATAAAAAAATTTTATTTCTTTTTCTATTTAGTTTTAAACATATTGTAGTTTTATGGTTATGTGCAAATTGGCTTGCTATGTCAAATTCATGTCATAACCCATTTATTTATGGATTTTGTAGTGTATGTTTTCATTTTATTTGTTTATCAGTGATAAAACAAAAAAAAAAAAAACATTTGATAGTTAGCTCGAGGTGATGAAAAACATTTCTGTTTATAATATTTGATAGGATAGAAAATGCATAGATAATGTTAACATATATAATTATATAATTGAAGATGAAAATATTTCTAGAAGCTATTTTATATTCAGAATAACAGATAAGAATAACAGTGAAAGACTATAATCTATGTTTAGATCAATAAAAATATCAATCTTCAATGATACGGTTAAAACCTTGTTCCAACTTTGTCTATCAATAATTGTGTGAAATTATTTTCGAAATAATTTCTTTCGCTTTCCTTCTTCAATTTAATATTATCTTTTACGCAACAAAATTATTTTTTTTGTTCCTATTTTTTATATTTTAGGCGAAATTTAATAGAGAATTTCGTAAACTTTATCGATGTTTTCCATGTATTGATAATAATAAAATAGATGGAGAATTAACTGATACCCGTATAAATGTACCTTTATTAAATCCAATTCAATTAAAACATATAACATATCAACAATATTCACTAAATTCGTCAACTCAACAACGTTCTCGTCAAAATACAACAACATCATTAAATAGTATCCAAAAGATAAATCAATCATCATCAATTAATATGAAAAATAATCTTAATGAAAAACGTCATCAATTTTTATTTTCAACTCGTCATCAAAATCAACAATATATTAATAATAATTATATTAATTATTACAATTCAAATAATAATCGATCAATAAATAATTGTGAAAAATTTTTAATTGATCAAGATTTAAAAAATTCATCAACAGAAGATGATCTTTTATTATATCATGCAAATCAATCAACACATTTTACATAGTTTTTTTTTCTTTTGTTTTTTTTTTTAATCTTGTGTTGTGAAATATAATCTATTTATATAAATATTCAATCATTATTATATATTCATCAGATATATCAAATTAATTATTTTAACAAACTTTCTCTCAACAATAATATCTAATCTTTTCTCTATTTCATATTATCATTAACAACAAATATTCATCAGCTACTTTTTTTTTTTCTTTATTGACTCTTTCATTTTAACCTTGATAAAATACCTATTCAATAACATTACAAGAACATTTTTTCCTTGTACTAACCCTCATCAATTGACACTTGTCACATCATATTCATTTCAAAAATCGAGCGCTCATTTACTATTTTTATCTACTTCATTAATTTTTTGTAGAAAAAAAAAAGTATACGATGTGGTTTAGCGGTTGTTATACTTCGACATAGTTAATAACTTTCCATGTTGATAGGTTTTTTCTCTATCAATTCGTTTAAGGACATGAGAAAAAGTAAAAAAAAACTAATAGTAAAAGAAAAAAAAGCGAGGTAGGAATCAAAGAGACAGGGTCTATGTCATTATTGATACGCATCATTAAACACCATTACCATTACTTCTATGATCAATGTCGGGTGAGAACGTGAACAAGAGAAAAAAAAACGAAAAAGAAATAAACACTATCGCATCTTATATATAAATACTGATTTAGTTGTAACATTATTTCAAACTATTTTCACTCCTCTAAACAACATACATTTAAATAAATATGAGTGGTTACGAATATTCATCATATTCGTCCTCGACAGGTGCTACTCCTGGTATTGCTACTGCTGCTGCTCCTTCTCCTGGTGCTTTTGATGCATCAAAAGCTATTTTTAATCAAGTTGATCGTAATCAAGATGGTGCTATTGATAGACATGAATTTCAACAATGGGTTAGTGGTGGAGCTGGAGCTGGAGCTGCTGGTGGTGGTGGTGGAATTGGAGGTGCAACTGCTGCTTTTGATACAGGTTCATATGAATTATCAAATATTTCATCAGGTGGAATTCCTACTGGTGGAGCTTTCGGTGTTGATAGTGGACTTACTGGTTCATCATTTGAATCATCAACATTGACATCAGGTGGTATTTCTGGTATTTCTGGTATTGCTGGTATTGGTGGTATTGGTGGTATTGAAGGTGGTTTTAGTGATATTAGTGGATCAACATTTGATTCAACAACAGCTAATGCTGGTTATGATGCAACATCAATACATCAAGCTGCTAATTATACACCTGAAACAAATGCTGCTTGGTCAAGATATGGTGCTGAAGTACGAGGTGCTGGTCTCTATGTTGATGCTAATCCACAAATAATTCGTCGACAAGTTGCAGGTGGTGTTCAAACTTATACACAAAATATTCGAATTCGCTTTCTTCAACCACCACCTCTTCCACCACCAGGCGTAAGTTATTTATTTATTTATTTATCTTGATTAATAATATAATTCTTATTAGCCAATAATAATAAAAGAAGTTCGACCACCTCAACCACCAGTTCCACCACCACTTCGTGTAAGACAACAAGCTCCACCTCTTCCTCAACCAGCTCCACTTATTCTTCGTGAACGACCACCACCACCACCACCTTCACAGGCTTCACAAACAGTGGTTCGACAACTTCCTGCTTTACCTGTTCCACCACGATCAGTTATTATCGAACGTATTCCAGCTGCTCCACCTCGACCACGTTAGGAGATTATTTATTCAGTTTTGTTTTTATTTTATTTATTAGATTTTTTTTTTATTAATAATATATAGGTGATATTATTATTGAACGTTGGATTCCTTATGGAGCTGCTGCTAAACGAAAGACAATTGTTCAACGTGCTGAAGCAGCTAAAGAATATTCTAGACCACGTAATGTTATTATTCAATATGAACCAGTACAAGTTCGTGTTATTAGACAATTTCACCGTTTGGGTATTGTTCAAGAAAATCCACAAGCTTATCTTCAACGTTATGGAGCACAATTACTTGATACTCAAACACTTATTCAACAAGCTCGTGCTGCTGGTGTTGTTGAAGATATTGTATGTTTTATAGATTTAGTTTTTCTATTTTATAATAATAAGATTATTTTTATTATTAAATAAAATAGTCTCCTCCAGCTGGTGCTAGTGTAGCTACAATTAGTTCATCATCATTAAGTGGTGGTGCTGCTTTTTCTGGAGCTGATGTTCTTGGCGTTGCTGGAGGAGAATTAGGAGGAGGAGGAGGAGGAGGAGGAGGAGGTTCATCATCCTTCTCTACTGGTAATTATCAAAGTTCACAAATCGGTGGTGCAGGTATTTTAACAAAGTTTTGTTTTTTTTTCTTAAAATTGATTATTTATCTTAAAGAAGGTTTGATTGGTGGTGGTTTCGACAGTGGTTTAGTTGAAGGAATTGGAGTTGGTGGAACATATGGATCATCAAACTTCGAATCTTCATCATATTTATCAGGTACAGGAGGAGGAGCTATTGGAGGATATGGTGTTGATCTTGGTATTAGTGGTGGATTACCCACTGGATATAGTTCATCATCATATGAATCATTAGGAGGAGCAGGAGCAGGAGGAGCTGGTGGTGTTGGTTCTTTTGATGCTGCTGCTGCTGCTTTCAGCAGTATTGATACGAACAAGGATGGAAGCCTTGATGCTAATGAATTTAAACAATTTTACCAAGCTGGTTTATAGAAAGTTTAATTTCGATTTTTTTTTACATATTTTTATATTGTCGTTTCTTAGTTTTCCTTTCCTAATTAATGTAAGGAAACAATTTTTTATGATGAGTATCATTTAAGGTTGCAATTATCTTTTTTTCGATCAACTATTTTGACGAAATAATGTTTTTTTAATTGAAAACAAGAGAAAAATAAAAATACCTATTTAATTATAATTGTTTATTTGTCAAAATATCCAAGGACATATTATTATTTTAATTATTCAATTTGTTATTATTGATTCTCTATTCTTGAATTAGGATTAACCATCTTTATAGAAGATATTTATTGACGATTAAAGAGACAAGATCATTTATAAACAATATTAAATTTATACAGACAATATTAACACATAGAATATCAATCAGAAAACATTTATCAGAATAAAATGCATCAATAAATATGAAAGAAAAATATTGTTACATTACCAACGACATTTAATATAGAAAATAATCAAGATATTTTAAAAGAAAAAAAAAACAACTAATCAAAAGATAAATCAATTTGAACATGATTTTATGAAATCTTTTATCAATAGATTTCTTTTTAAAAAACATTTTCGATAAATTAAAATCATCGACGAAACAACATTTAAATAGTTGAAATAGACACGTTTAATAAACAGTCAACATAAATAATATTTATTTATATTTAACCCTTTCGTGGTGATTCGACTCTTATATAGAAACTAACAGATTATTCAGAATAAATCTCCTTACTTCGCATCTCATTTATTAATCTCTCTCTCTCTCTATATATATTATTAGAAAATAAAATCTATCATAAGATCCAGTATGAAAAGCTCTACAATCTCGATAGTAAAGGTTACTTAATTTATGTACTTTTTCTTTTGAAAAAGAAAAGAGAAATATTCTCTGTGACCAATATAACCTTTACGATGTAGATTGTAGATCGTTTCACGCTGCATATTTTGCTTATATATTTTATTTTTTCTTATAAAATCATATTAGATGATAAAAAGATGAAATAAGAAAAGTGAAATTTCTCATTCGTCTAGAAAACAAAAAATGATCGTTTCGTAATCTCGAAAAGTGATCATACAGAATTTGACTTTTTTTCAAAAGAATAATTACACAATTAAAATTAACTTAACTATGAAGATTGTAGAATTTCTCACGCTGCATCTTAGATTTTTAATAAAATATCTTTAGAGGTTAAAATATGAAATGCAAACTCTGCCTCATCCATTAGTTTTAAAATATAATCTGGAGCAGTTTGCCGCGAAACGGGTTAATCAGTTAGTCAAATGAAAATACCTTCCTAAAGACAATCATTTATCATTCTCATATATATATATATAAATATAATCGATAGACATTGAAATAGCATGAAATTTTCCGTATATATTCAGATTGATATGGAGAGGGTATAGTCAAATATTGAGTCCCTATATTATGATATTTTGGGGAGATAGTCAACAAACAAGAATAAAAAAAAGAGTCATTTTCTAAAAGGAAATTTCTTGATGAGTCTTCATTTAATAAACTTAATTGATTTTTTTGTTTGAAAAAACATGTCAAGATGCGGAGCATGACAAAATATTTTCTTCAAATTTTTACTTTTCAAGAGAAAAAAAGTAATGAAAAGTTGAAAATCTAAAAATACTCTGAAAAGATGTGTCTCTAACAATAAAAAAAACTCTTTTATATAATAGTAAAAGAGATTTATACGAATAAGAAATTCTCTCATATCCTATGTGTTGACATGTTGTTTAAAACAAGAAAAAAAACCTATTGATTATGAACGAAGGTTGTTCAAGAATTGTGGGATACCTGATCGAAAATCTCTAAAAGAAAAAAAAATGAAAAAGATTTTCTATTTTTCTTTTGGTAAAGTAGCTCAGTTTTTGAATAAGGGATGATGAAAATATAGAAAGATTTTTGTAAACAAGAAGGTTCGAAGTAAAAATTGGAGTCATTTATAATAGATGAAATGATGATCTATGTTTAGATGAATTAATATTAATTTGAATAATTGTGAATAAAAGGTGAGGTTATTTATTGATGTTTATCCTTAATTAAATTATAAATATAATTGAAGATAAATATGTAAAATATTAAATAAGAACAATCATAGATCTAAGTTTTTCAATTTCTTTATCTAATTTATCTTCAGTAACTTTAATTCTTCCATCAGTAATACGTTGTAATGTTTTAACAGAACCTTCAAGTGATTCAAAACAAGTTCGCATTTCTTTTTTAACTTTTTCTAAATTAGCCATTGTTTTTTGATATTTATCATCAAATCGTTTATAAACAGTTTGTTCAACAGACTAAAAAATAAAAAATAAAATAAAAAAAAAAAAAGCAAAAAAAAAAAGAAATCTAACTTCATTATTTCTAGTTAAATCTGAAATAGCACGTCTATAATGATCTTCTAATGAAGCTGTTTTTCTTTCAAATTGATGTATAGCATCATCAATTTTTTTATCTAATCGTTCCTAACAAATAAAATAAAAAAATTTTTATTGAATATAAATATAATAAATGTAAATTAACATATTTATCTAATGATCTTTTAATATCATCAAGTTTTTGATTTATTTTTTGTTCTTGTCTTTCTCGTTCAGTATCTTCTTGAGTTTTACTTTGAAATATTTGATTTCGAAGTTCATCAACAAAAGCTCGTGAACGTGAATCAGCAGTTGATAAAGCACGTGCTGTATCGGTTTCAAATGTACGTAAAACAACTTGTTGTTCACTATATATTCTATCAAGACGTTGACTTAATGTTGTTATCTATTTCAAATATTTCAATAACAAATAATTTTTTTTTAATTTAGATTGTTTTTTTTACTTCAACTTTTAATTCTTGATAACGTTGAACATTTGATCTATTTGTATCTTGTTGAGTTTGTATTATATCTCGAAGTCCATGTGAAATTTGTTCAACATCCGATTGTAATTTTTGTATTATTGTATCAGTTTTAGATAATTTTAATTGAATATCAATATTTAATTGACGTAATTGTTCATCATATGTTTGTTGATTAGCATCTAATTTAGCTATTGCACTTTCACGAATTGATGTTTGATTAGCTAATGATTCAATATCATTATTTAACTTTTTACAAACAGCTGATAATACTTGAACTTGATCCATTTTATTTATTTTCTCTCTTTAGATTTAGTTTTATTAATAATTCTTTTATAATTATGTTTCTATGCAACAACCTTATTAGTTTTGTTAGAAATATTTTTCTTTTTTATTTCTATATCAAAGATGTCGTTAACATATGTTTGAACATTTTTTTTTAATTTTTACTCTTTAAATTAAAAATAACAAATAAACAAATGTTGAAATATATCTCAAATAAAATAATATTATATAAGAGAGATTTCGAAGAATATTAATTTGGGAAGAGAATATTAAGAAAAGTTCTCAATAGAATCACTTTTATTATAAAACGAAAAAAAAAAATATCTCGACAATAAATATATTCGATATTCAACTATGATTATAAAATATTTTTAAAAAAAAATTCAACCATATTAATCAAAACAAGGAAGAGAATTAATTAGATTTATATAAATATATTATACCAAAGATTTTCATTAAAAGAAAATAATTATTTATTATATATCTATGTCTGAAAACCTTATGTAGTTAATTATCAATAAAATAGTTTACTTTTTTATTTATCCTATATATCAATTGATTGATTAGCTGATTTATATAATAAATAAGCAATGTTTTTTGAATAATCTCCTCATTCTGATTGACCTTAATTGAAATTGATCTCGAATATATAAAATATTGCATTGCCACATAACTTCTCAGCGTTTCGATCAATAGAATTCTATCGAGAGTATAAAACTACATTTTAAGGTAAGGAATTATATATTATGACAGAGCTCAGAATTCTCTATCACCCTGTGTATTTAATTCTTGACTTGAATTTATTTGGTGAAAAAAAATATTTTGAAGAGTGAAGATCCCCTCACCCTTAGATTCGTTCGAACTCAATTTTTTGTTCCTTTGCGATGTTTTTCGAAAATTTTTCTCTCTAGAGTAATTCGGCTTTTTAGATAAGTAATTATATATTGTCAGAGTTCTTGAAATTCTCTATCGTCCTGTATATTGAGATCTGATTTGAACTTATTTCCTGAAAAATATTTCGAACATTCTCAATACTCATGACGGATGTCTTCACTCTATTGAAAATATTTTTTCACCAAATAAATGGAAGTGAAGAGTTAAATACTTAGGGTGATAGAGAATTTCAAGCTCTGTCAGAATATCTAATTACTTTCCTTATTATGTGTCAATGTAATATTTATTTATTTATTTCATTTAAAATAAATATTTATAAAACTAATCAATTTAATTCATTGTTATACATTATCAAAAATTTAACCGATTAAAATCGATTGAAATTTCCTAATCGAGAAGGTACGTTCGTCAAGAACGAAGTTTGGTTCAATCTGGGCCCTTGATTGATGGAATGATGACAAGCAGATGATTGTATTTTTATGGTTATTTGTGCCATGGAAATGGTAATTTCTCTCACAAAAATGGTCAATTATACCAAGCAGTCGTTAGCGACAGAGAGAGAGAGACAGAGGTGAATTACGGTTTGTAGAGACTAGCCTTTCAATCTAGGAAAACTTGTCAATAAATATTGATAAATTGTAAGGTCTAGAAATGAATTAGTATTGATTAATCATATTGATGATAATTGATTATTATTTCGATTTTGTTCCGCAAAAGTGACCATGAAAATTCTCATATAATTGACTTGACCACAATTTTTATCAATTTTTTATGGTATTCTACTAGTTTGTTAACGTTAAAATGGAATCGAACTAACAATCGAGACCTTTTCGTTGCCAAAAAAAACTCGTTTAAAGATAGATTTCTATCTGTTATTATTCTATGGTATTTGTTTATCTGATGCAGCATCGTGTTTACCTCTTAATCAATTTTAATCTATTCTTAGATTATAATAATAGA